AATGAAAAAAATTATCATCAGATTATCCTAAGATTCTTATCATTCTCAAGTACCCATTTAAAGATGAATCCACTGTCACTAATTAATGCCTCTATCTATAATAATATATAAGATTTATAAATAAATCGTATGCCATTCATTAATTTTAATCAATATGATGAAATATTTACTGAGAACCGACTAGTCAAATGCTTTTGACAAACCAAAAGGAAGACCATCAGAATAAAATATACCTATGTTCTAAGAGCCATTTTTCGAATAGACAGATTGATATCGACACCATATCAGTAGGTTTTAGCTTTCGATTTATGCACAATTTACTGTAAAATAGACAAGAATATACATCACGAATATCACGTCATTTTAATATGAATACCTCTTAAGGTTAGAATCAAATTTTATTAAAACTAGTTGAGCACAAGCTGAGAGGTCCACTCGATTTAAGCAATACTTAATATTTTTTATTCTTTTATGTTTATAGACTTATCAAATTACCAGTAAATAAACAGCATTTGTCAACTTTTTAAATTGTTAAATATTTCGGTAAATTTCAATAAATTATGAAGTCTATTTATCTTGAGAATAAATAAGGACAAAAACTATTATAATAAGAACAATACAAATTAAGTTACTTCAGTTTAGATTGGTTTCATAAATGGATCAATGTTAGATCACCACTGAAATCCTGGAAACACTGGATGGCCGTTTTGTCCTAGTATGTGTCTGTTGTGAGGTAGTTACCAACTGAAGACAATGGTAGGCAGTCGGGCAGTATCATGGATTGGTTGAAGCTAGACATTAACACCGTTGGATACCGGCTCAGTTAAGCGTTGGCGCGAGACCAAAAGTCCTGGGTTCGAGTCCCACATGCGGGATCGTGGTTGTGCAGGGCTGAAAAGTCCCATACTAGGACGAGACGGCTGTCCAGCGCTTCCAGGTTTTCAATGGTGATCCAACGTTGATCCATTCATGTTATCAATCTAAACTCAACAATCTCCACAACCCTATACTGGTAATTTATTTTAATTAACTTTTTCAGCTGTTTGTAATACAGAAATATATTTATATATTTATAATATCTGTTATGACTTTTTAAAATGGAGTGAAACGCAAATATAATAGCTGAAGTATAGAGTATCAAATCGATTCTAGTCATGTTGTCCAATCAGAATTGTTTTTTTAAACATTTACATGACCAAAAAATGTCGTGAAAATAGAGCATGAAACAAAAATCTATACACTACAGAGACTGTAACTGTACAGAAGTACAGAAGCCTAAACCTTGAGCAGAAGAGTAGCGAGGTCAGTATTAATTATTTTAAAACTGTTGTCGTATTGATAAAATAGTTTTCATACATGAATAAGCGGCACTAAAATTAGAAGAAACAGTTGCATGATTGATTTATGGGGATTTATATGGTATGGAGACGAAGTCCGAGAAATGGAAAATCGATAACAAATGATACGTAATAATGAAATTGATATTCAGATAATTAGTAGTAAGACTCTCAGTTTTATAAATTTCTTTAACTATCATAACTCTGCTGACACTGTTAGTGCATATGATGTGCATATTTCTTAAGCAGACTATATTTCGAAACCTTTGATTTAACTTATTTAATACACTCGGCTGTCAGTAAACAAACATTAGTTAATTTCATAGTTAACATAATGTAGTAATGGTAATTAATCAACCACTGAATACCATGAAGCAATTGACAGCTACTTCGTCCTAGTATGGGATTCTTCAGCAGTACACACCCACGACCACACCACCATAGACGTTAATTAGATGATAAAATGTAAATTATGCGATAAAATAGATTTTATTAGACATAAATTTGTGATAATGTAAATATATAAGGCAAGAAATGACAAATCGATATGAAGTTCGAACGTTGACATTAATTATGTAATTTAGACCTTTTCAGCAGTTTCACACATAGAACAAAACATAACGATCTTCAGTTTTTCCCATAAGCCAGTTAGATAACAAACATATTAGGAAAAATTTCAATTACAAGGCTGAATTTTTTATAAAGTCGAATGCAAATCTTAAGAAGATAATTAGTATCATATCTACCAATAATAAATAAATAAGTTTTTTGAAAGTTAATTAGAACAGAATCGTATTGCGTTTGGTGATCTTAGAACTCCCACTTGTAAACAAACATGTTACCTGTCAATTCTCAGTGATCAATTATCGCAAATTTTTCAGTCCTACTGGCGGATAGCTTAGGCCCAAACACCCCAATGGTAACATTTCAAACTGAGGAATTAGATCATGTGAGATCGAATTCCGCTGATGGCATTAAATCCATTGAGATTAGTGGTACACTTTATTAACGAACCGGAGCTAGCATGAAACTCATATCTAAAAGTTTCAGTCGATCACCTTTAACCACCTAAAAGCTTAAAATGAATATTGATTTTCAGTACGATCACTGAACTCAGAATGACTAGCTTCAGGTTTATGTTTTTGTTTTTTGTGTATATGAAAAATCTAGCACACAGATTAACTCTTCTATTATCCTATATTCCTCTGTCAAGTGTATTTAAAAAGTGGAAAGGAAAATACGAGAAACTAGGAATTTTCAGTATTGAGAAAAATGAATAAACCGATAAAATAAAGATGTAATTTTCTTAATGGCACGTCTTAGCATTCGTAATCTGTTGAAGTTATCACACTGTAGTATTAGTTAATATGTCTAGAGTTTGGAAGCCTAATTTAAATAACATTTTGAGGTGTATTTCTTTGTTTGATATTGAATTACATGGAAAAAAATAATTGTGTGATTATGTAACAGCTCTTGAGTGATGAGTAATGGAACAAAATTGACTAACACATTGAAAAAAGCTAGAGCTTTTAATGCATTTCTGCGATGTCAGTTAACTGGAGATTCAATGAAAACCAAATTAAATTGGCTTAAAATACACAGACCAGTTATGGCGAAGGTCAAAAGTGTCTAGAGTGGTTAAGCAGAAGTGCCACGAACAATAAATTGGGTGTTTCATAACATTTAAGATCAAATCTTCGTATCGACTCTTGTTTGGGCATTTTAATTTATGTTTACCAAACTCATAGATTGCAATCCAAAAAACAAAAATATACTGATTACAAATTAGTCTTACAGGTTACAGTTGATTAACTGATTCATCAAAATAATTGTCTTTGCTCAAATAAACTATTCTTCGAGTTTGTTTACCTTACTTATAATGAGTTTGATGGTTTCTAGGTAAGTAAATTAAACATCATGATGCAACTGGTCTAGTCTTTTTAGTTTCTGATACAAAATTTTGATATATGAATTTTAAAATGGTTATACATTAGTATGATATTACAAATGAAAACACTTTAAACAAAAATATCGATCGAAAACTTTATCAGTGATCTACCATCAAAATGTATTACCTATGAACATTAGTAAACAACCGAAATAGGTTTATTCTATGTATGAAATTTATTTAAAACAGAATCATACCACTCATTATTTTACAGGGACAATAAAGCACTTAAAATAGAAGTAACCAATATATAATCGTTTCTGAAATGTTATGTCAATTTTTTGTCCTGTTCAATCATTAGAGAAACAGACATGCTACAGAACCTGTAAAATTGTATTTCCATGAAAAATAAAGATAATTCGATTAGTGTCAAAAGTAATCATGAGTTTGTTAAGAAAGTGAATTATGCATAATTGAAATTCGTTAGTCTAGCTATCATGTACTTGAAAAATCAATATTTAAAACAGTTTACCTGATTAAAAGAGGATTTTATCACTAATAGTAAATTCATAAAATCATCTGAAGACTGAATCATTCATTATATTTATAAGTTATCAAATCTATCTGCATTAATTTGACATAGATAAACTTATGATGACTACTCAAATCTCCTAGTGATTGCAATGAGGTGGTTAATGGTTTCTTATCAACAAACGATAATAATTTGAAAAAACATTTGATAACTATTTTACCCGGGTTAAAAATTTTGCTTGTTGACAAATAAAGGTAAATAATTTTATTAACTCGACGAGTATGATTGAGATTTTAAAGGTGAGGATTGGCAAAGTAAAGACAGCACTCCTACATTTGAAGAACATATGAAACTCAAGCAACAGTCAACCAATGTCAAAGTCAGAATATTTAATATGAAAGTCAAGGCAGTTCTACTGTAAGGAGCTGAAACTTCGGGAACTATATGTATTTATAAACAGTTATCTATGTAAGATACTCAATATCCGTTGGCTGGATACTATCAAGAACAGCCTACTATGGGAGAGAACAAAGCAGGTTCCATTTGAGGAAGAAATTAAAAGACGTTGGAACTGGACAAGACACACATTGAGGCAATCATCAAATTGCATCACAAGGGAAGTGCTAACTTGGAATCCTAAATGGAAACGGAAAAGAGGAAGGCCGAAGAACATATTACGTTGGAAAATAGAAGCAGATATGAAAAGGATGAATAACAACTGGAAAAGATTGCCCAAGACAGAGTTGGATAGACAATGCTAATGAGTGGTTTATGCTCCTCCATAAGAGGGTAACACGTGTAAGTAATGATTCAGCTATGTTAACTGATCAGTTAAGATTAAATGAACTTTAAATAATCAGTTTATTTATATCAGATAAATATTTTAAATCAAGCATCTAAAACATGATAAATCATAGATTGTTTTATATAAAGGAATTAAACAACCAATTTGAACTCATATATATATATATATAATCATAGTTATAGTTAGACAGTGATTCCATAAAAACAATACAGATTATAATAAAATCAATAAACTAATGACATTGTATAAGAAAAAGAGAATTGATTGAAGAAAAACAGGATACAAAAAACAATGACTAGTTCTATACAGAACCATTTTATCAACTATGAACAGATTCCTTCAAATGATTCTTCTTTTAAAACAATAATGACACCTTTAATTTATAATTCAATTCATTAAAATTAAATAAATAAATAACTACAAAACTGGATCACTTACAACCATTTTATTCCTTGAACTGGATCCATTAAACTAATCATTAATTGAAATAATAATAATGATAATATAATTCCGAAAAATTTGGATTTTTGTTTAGATAAAAGAAATAGTGGATCTGTTATAATGAAGAAATAGTTCAACTTTGTGATAAATGGCATAATCAATTTTAATTTTTCTTTTTTTCTTTTTTTCTTTCTTTCTTCTTTCTTTCTTTTCTTTCTTTTTTAGTTATTTATTTCATGAAGACTAAATGAAACTTGTGTAGTTGTTTGTTTATTTATTTTTTTATTATTTTGATAAAGATGTAGAATTTTATCTTGTATGTATAAACAAGAAAAATAATGATTGCGTAACTCTTAGTAACAATAGTTATAATGGAATATGTATTTTAAATTGTTTCTTTATTATGAAATTCATATAGGTCAACAATATGTCAACATTTAAATGATCAAACGTGTATATATATAAGTATGACTGACATTATATCTTTAATAATGTTGTTAGTAGTAGTATTAATAGTAGTAGTATATGTATTTGATAAGCATGCTGACTAGTTAGTGTAATTGTTACAAGATGATAGACATTATCAGAGTAATATGAAGATTCTTTTGTTTTCTAGATAAATAAATGAATTTTATGCACAAAACATTCACACATTAGAAAAAAAACAAACATGTACATACATTACATTTTGTGTAAGTGTAGACTAATTTTGTCTACTGTTATTGTACAGCAGTTGGCTATTTTTTTTTCTATATTTGTTTTCTTTAGTGAGACACTTTTTCTATATACTTATAACTGAAGAATTAGACTTCGATTCCAGGTTAATGGAATGTTAATTTTTATGTATCGTATGTATACATCCCTATCACTTTAGTTAGGAAATATACAATTGAGATTCTTTGTATGGATTTATGTACACATTTAAATGTATATGAATGAGAGAAAAAGATGAAATGAAGTATAGGTAGATAAGCAGTAATAAAATGAATCAAATACTATGAGTTATTTTCTTTCTAATATATTTCTTATACTACTTAAGAATCACTTTCATTTTTGTGCCAAAGAAACACAATTTATATTTTAGAATTTATTTCATAGTATACATAAGAATGCGTTGTTATGTGTGTTGATTTGTCTACAACATTCACTTCTACTGCCACTGTAAATTTTATCACCTATGTGTGTGTATATATCTATATATATATTAGTAGCATAATGATATTCATTCTTGTAAAATGTTATACAATCTATGGGCCTTAATAGATGATAGGGTAATATGTTATTTTTATCGCATTTTTCACCGAATATGAATAATGTTTCCAAATGTTTTAATAAATGTTTAGTTGTCCAGACATCTTGAACTGTAGTTTATGATATGGTGTAAGTATGCATTTATGTGTTTGTGTAGTTCTATATATACCTATAATAGGTAACAGGATCATTAGTTGAACAAAAGGGGTAAGTAAATATATATGCGCATAGATTTCAATTTATTATTTCAATGGTATTTTGCGAATAATACATATACACATATATTATTCTACATTATCTGTCTGCACACTTATGAAATACAATTAGGTGATGTTGTGTTGGGCACAATAAGTAATAGTGTTCATATTTTTCAACGTTAAATACATTTGACCAAGCGTGTTACTTTACGATTGGTTAAACAATGAACATAAATCTAATTCAGATGATAACATGTTTAGGGGGATAACAAAAACCAAAAAAAATGTATGTATAGATGGACATTCATGTTACAAAATTATATTCGTTGGATTAAATAATAAATTTATAGTGGTGTATGTGTGTTTTTGTTTTTTAATGTTAAACTTTAAAAGTTCAGTTTAATATCAGTAAAATGCCTTTGTGCTAATACATGAATGGATAATCGCCATTTATCATAATACCATAATCTATAAGAATAAACCAAAACTACATGTATTTTGACATGAAGATCAACATTCCAATAATATGATAAAGAATAAAATAATGAATATTTTAGATATTTAAAAATATATCTTAAAATAATCTTATTTCATATAGTTGAAAATTATATTTTGCATTTCTGAGTACATCTACGTATTATATTCTTTGATCTGTAGTAGTAGTAGTAGTAGTAGTAGTAGTAGTAGTCAAGGTGTTTAAAGTACAGTTTGATTATTTACTTATATCAGTGATTCATATAACTATGCTACTAAAAAAGGATATCCAATATTAAAAGCAATCAAAAAGTTCCCAACAATTATTTTTAATTATTGTCATTATCTAAGCTGCTTGATTAGTCTGTTTCAATATGACAGAGTTTTAACATATTTTCCAGTAAGCTAATTTACAAGATACATTTCACTGAATAAAATTATTTATTGAACTGAAGGTACAACTGGAATTCAAGTTGAAAGTTTCTTCTTATTTGCGACTTGCTAGTTAAAATTTGATTATTTATATACCAACCGATTGTAAAGTGTTGTTTAAAAAAAATATTTATTTTCCTACTTATAACTTCAATTCCCCCCCTCATGTCTGAACAAATTGTTTTGCGTTAAGTTATTGAAAGTGATGTTCATTTAGCAGGAACAGGATAGATCACAGTATTTAGGAAATGTCAAAATTATTAGTATTTTCATATATTTTCAAAGTATAACATTTGAATTAATTAAGAAATATCAAGCTTTACAATCAGTGTCCTATGAGGTTGAACTAAGTATCTCAGAGTAGAATAGGGTTATTAACTACACAGTATTATTATTTACTTATCTCTGATATCTTTATACTTAAACTTCCTGAAACCATGCTTAAACTAGTGATCACATTAGATTCCCTATGAACTACTGTAGATTTGTACTTAAGTTCATATTGTAAACTTTCTCTTAATCTTATAAATAAATAAAACAAATACTAACTGATGATTAGATACTACAATTTTATCTAAACATCTAATCCATAAACTATTCAATAGAGATTGTAATTTAATCTATGAACATCATTTCTCATATCTATGTGACTATATAAGAAAATAAATCACTATTCACGTTATTTCCTTTCAAATGAATGATGTTTTTCTCCTTTTCTTTTCTTCTTTCTTTCTTTCTACTTTTTATATTTACATTAGTTCATTGTGAAAACCATTCAAACGTGAGGAATCCTTATTAATCATGACTATTACTTTTTACTTCTTTCCTTTATTATTATCATCATTCTTTTTCCATGTAACCTCCATTATGTTCATAGTAATTTTCAATTTCAAAAGGTTAATTACAATATTAAAGATAAACATTTTTTATTTTTATAATCAAAACATTTTCTACAATTAATCAGTTTTTGGAGCCATTTGTTTTGTTGGGGATTATTTTCTATCGGAATGTAAAAATGTCATTTAGTCAAATGATAAACGTTAAGTTTCATTCATTTGAATTATAGGATTATGATTATGTAATAAACAAAACAATTTTGACGTTGGATCATTCATGAATTAATCATCTAGTTATGATAATATAATAATTTGTCTATGATTACAATTAGGTTCGTCTCCTTTCAATTATAAATACATAACAAAATAATTTTATAACTATATTAAGATTACTATCATGTATAACAACTATGGATTAGAATCATTTCCCAATAGTTGACATCATGAATTAATTGAAGTTAGATCAATATGGGAAACATGGAAGTATTGGATAAGAATTGAATCTATATTTGATTTATTTCATCTTTGAACTGATTTAAATGTCATCCAATATTATTTATCACTTAATTCGTTCATTCTAAGAATTTAGATTTTGATAAAGATCCAAACAAATAAAATGAATGAAATCAGTCATCACTTGAGTCATTTATTATAATAGAATTTATATATTCTGGTTATTATTGTTATGTTTAAGCACCGAACTTTGATATAATGCTATACTGAAACATACACCACATAAATAAAATAAATAAAAGTAAGAAAAGAGTATAAACAACGTAATCTAACACAGAAAGCAATTTAAATAAGAACATAATTAATTATAATTTTATTATCAGAATGGGTTTTGTGGAGAGTTTTAGAAATTTCACATGTTGAAATCATGAGTCAGTTGAAGCTAGACCACCATTGAAAACCTGGAAGCACTGCTGAGGAGTCCCATACCAGGACGAAACGGCTGTCCAGTGCTTCCAGGTTTTCAATGGTGGTCTAGCTTCAACTGACTCATGATTTCAGCATGTGAAATTTATAATTTTATTCTGGTTTAAAGTATGTCCTACTATTTGTACACAGTGTTAAACAACATTAAGCATCACTATAAGTATCATAAATTTTCAGTCATCTAATATTGTCAGAAGTCACGTAGTTTTCTTTTCATTGTGCCCCTAGCCAATAGGTTGTTATATATACTAAATGTCTGCATCCCATCATAATACAGAACAGGGGATACCAGGCATAGTAACCAGTATGCTAGTCCCCATTGTTATTGATGAATCAAAGTTGATATTTAGAAGCACATAAATAAGGTAAGATTTATATTTCATTGAAGATATTTCAACACTGAAGCTTTGAATTACTTGGCAATCTTGATAAGTTAATAATATTCAGTCGTTGTTGCTTTTTGGGCTAAGATTAGTTTTAATTGGCTAATTGTATGGGAATATAATAAACGTTAAGAGTAAAATCCATCCATTTGAATGATGTTTTCATCATTTATTTCCGATTAAGTTCATTGGAATCTATGTGGGTGGTATACTGAATAGAGAACAAATGCACCAGTACAATGGATACTAAGTCAACAAATCCGTAAATTTGTTTTTGTGATTTGTAAAAGTGCCACTATGAATTTTCATTCTCGTAAGTAAATAAGTAAAAACACCAAATACCCCATTGCAAAAAATGCTTATTTTCAAAACAGTTTTTAACTTTGGCTTTATTTATATATTTCTTATTTATCTTTCAGTTAGACGTTTTCATAAGGTTTTGTATCATGTATTTAAGTCTACTATATCAAGGCAGACTGTAAGAGGAAAACTTAATGAGTTGCTAACTCAAAATCTCAAATAAATGATCTGAAAAACCATTATGTTACCAATAGATTGAGGATTTTCTTAGTAAAACAACCAAATTTATTATAAATGTCATATAAACTGTAGATAGTTGCAGAATAGAAGATTTTGAGTACTCTTTAAGCACTGAGAAAACCAACGCATGACTAACAAGCTTGATTCTTGTCCAGCATATTACATTCACTCAAGAGTATTCCTTCATAGACGTTCATACATATACGTTTACCTTTCAAAATAAGGTCAGAAATTACTTTTATTTCATTTACCATTGACTTTGTTTTTAACAAACATACTAAGTTGAATTTTACCAAATAATATTCATATTGCATTCCTAATTTTAGTGAGATTCAGTAAACAGGCATGTTGTTTAAATATTTGTTTTCAAACTGAGATTCTATGCTGCGAAATTTTTTCGAGAACAGAAAAAAATGATATTCTCTTCTTAAAGTAGCTAAGTTTATCTGATCACTTGTATTATCTTTGAGTCTACTTTTCTTTTTAAACTTATTAAAAGTTAATTATCATATAACACAGTGATTTCATCGATGTTAGACCATAGTCTCTTATATTCATTTATATTGGTTATTTGAATCCTCCCACCAATGTTTAGGACTACAATTAATCCGTCTCTAATTTTTTTTTCAGGTACATCTAGCTAACTGGTCACAAATAAAACAAAATGTGCTACCTAGATTCCACTGCAAGCTATTATTCATCACCCATACTTTTTAAACAAAAAGAGAAATATCAGAAAGGGTTTTGTGGATATTATAGTAATTTCACTGGTTGAGATCATGAGTCAATTGAAACTAGATCACCACAGAAAACCTGGAAGCACTGGATAGCCGTTTCGTCCTATTGTGGAACTCCTCAGTAGTGTGCATCCACTATCTCGCCCACCCCACGAGATTCAAACCCAGGACATATCAGTCTCACGCGCGAGCGCTTAACCACTAGACCATTGAGTTGGCATCCAACGGTGTTAATGTCTTACTTCAACTAATCCACGAAATTGACTGACACATCCACCATTGTTTTCATCAGTGAGTTACTATCTCACAACAGAGAAATATATTGCATTTTATTTCCATGATTTGAAGTGAATGTCAATGATAAAGGCTATGTAAGAGAATCATTTAATACGTCTCACAATTATTAGAATTATATAAGATGTAATAATATGAAAGTTTCCAAATTTTATTACACTTTTCTACATAGAAAATTTAAGCATATATTTCATATTCATAAGAAAAAAAATGATTTCTTTTATTACATTTAAGGTCATTTATGCAGTTGTTATGATGATAAGAGTAGAGACTATCTACTATTATAAGATGACCTTTATGTATCACAAAATGACAGTCTTAATGTATCCACATGTATAACGGAAAAAATTTTTTTTTCTTTTATATAGTAAAATGTAATATGAATTTTATGATATTTCATAACATTTTTAATTGCCTATATAAAAAAATCTTGAATATGAAACTGGTTGATGCATTTTTTTTCGAAAGGGAGAAAAAAAGGCCAAAAGAAAAGAGAGAGAGATACATAGATAGATAGGTAGATAGATAGATAGATAGATAGATGGATATAAAATTTACTTGGTTAAACCCATTAAAAATATTGTACAATGTACATTTTAGTTAAATATAAAAATACCTCTTATCTTATTTAACATGAATTCATTCATTCATTCTAAACAACTGTTCACTTGAAAAAGACTCCATTAAAATAATTTAAAGAAAAATTTCAATAAATTCAATGTATCTTGACGTAATAGTGATTATAGTGTTTGTTACTAACTGATATAAATACTGAGAAGAATATATACTGTTTTTCATGTAGGTGTATTTTCACTTCTTATAGACTTCATTATTTTATTTAATATTTAAATAAGATTTTGTTAAAACTAAAATGGTTGAAATTTGATTTATATAGAATAAACTTAATCTTGAGTTCACTTAGTATTGTTATGCTTGTATCTTTCCATTGAGGTTTAAGACTGCAATTGATCAATCTCTTATTGGTATATATGCATACTGTGCGTACTGCCTCGATATTGACTTAATTCATAAGCTTTTATAAACAAAGATGGATAGTGGCTAGCAGTGGAATCCAGGACACGCATTTCGTCCACTATCAATCGTTGCTTAATCTTGAGTGTTGTACAGTTTAGGTTGAGAGATTAATTTTTTTCTGCTTGATTAGAATTTTCAGAAGGGATATTTTGTGGAGATTTTAGTAATTTCAATAGTTTAAATCATGAGTCAATTCAAGCTAAACCACCATGGAAAATCTGGAAGCACTAGAAGGCTGTTTCGTCTAGTGGTTAGGCGCTCGCGTGCGAGATTGATAGGTCCTGGGTTCGAATCTCGCAGGGGGCGGGATCGTGGACGCGCACTGCTGAGGAGTTTCATAATAAGACGAAACAGCTAACCAGTACTTCCAGGTCTTTCATGGTGGTCTAGCTTCAACTGACTCATGATTTCAACTATTTATTAGAATTTGATTACAATTCTTAAAAAAAATTATACCAATAAAGACGAAAATTTTGAAAATAATCTGATGTTCACATGTTGCTGAAGTCAAATAATTTCGTTGTTTTCAGTATGGGTTTGAAAGTGATTTCTGAATTTGATTGGAATCATGAACTGATCTAAGTTAGATCATCATTGAAAACCTGGAAGCACTGAATGGCCATCTTGTACTAGTATGGGGCTCCTCAGCAGTGCGCACTCAAGATTCCGCACGCGTAACTCAAACTCGGAACTTTCGGTCTTGAGGGAACGTTTAACCTTTAAACAGTGAGTCGGGATTCAACAGTCTTTATGTCTAATATTAACCAGTTTAGTAATTCATGACTTTTATTTACCAATAATAAATAACTATCAAGAACGAATTTTAGTTTGGACGTAGATTCTGACACAACAGGAATAAATTGGAAACCATTTTGACATAATAGTACATTAACAAACCATCTAAGGAACAGTTGGCAGAAGTACTGATCAGTTGAATCTAATTAGAAGATTTAAAAGAGATATGCTCACCAACAGAACTAAATGTATTCTATTCATTTGCAGAAACAACCAAAAATATTCACTTTTGAAAGGCTTTAAGCTCAAAAAGCTGTGTTTTGAAATGCATTCTTTCAGTCAATTCTTTTGCACATCGAAAAAATTTATCTCCCAATACGTTTTCACGAAACTGAACAACTCGATATTAATTACTTTATATATTGACAAAACTCTGTTTATCGAGTAATTTACATAAAGTACGCAATTGACAGCAATAAAATCATTGTTTTTTTTAACGATTGTTTAGAATACAGAAATGAACTATGGATGCCGTATTTACCGGTCGTTCCATTCAAACAATTAAACGAAATGAAAAACGGTTATATCAAAACTGAACCGATTTCTTTCTTAACCTATTAACAGCATAATAATATACAATCGGAAAACACTGAATGACAACAATGACCAAGTCATATTTATTTAGTCTTTAATGCACCAGACTGTGAAACTAGTTGAAATACGTTTGTATTCCATGGAAAGCTTCAGTCCTGTCAAGAATTTAGGCACATCTAACTAAAGCGTGCCAAATAACATAAAACCGAAGTCTAACATTTTCTCCCAGTTACCTCTACTTACCTTAGATAAAGTTGAGATTTATGTAGGAACAAGCAAGCAAGTTATTTACTTGCATCTTACTTAAGATAAACATAAATAGTAGTACCGTTATCCCGGAACTCCTAAAAGTGAAGAGATAAAGTGTAATTTAATGCTCTCATGGACTGAGTTTTGGTTTCACCATCTTAATTCTATATGTGATTGGAAACCTTTCATTGTCATTCTAACCAGTGTCATCGCAATCAACAGGCAAACCAACAGGAAATATCTGGTGCCATAAAAATAACTGGATAAGAAAATCCCAGTAATTAGTTCACTTCATTCTTGATATCATGATAAGGAGGAAAGAATTTATGCTAATCGAAATCCTGACCACCAAGAATTTTTGGGATACGAATGTCCAGGAAGAAAATGTATATGGATTAACTAATAGAAAAACCATACTATAATACCTAATTTGCAAAATGTTCAGTAATTGTCTCGGACTTCATTGTTCTTGCAGTTCTATACTAATCGCTTTCTATTCCCGTTCTTCCTTTCTTGATCTTTTCAATCTTCTGCTGACAGACATTACATTCCTGACTGGCGTTATGTACTACTTATGTCAATATAAGTAGCACGCACCAAACTATCACTTAACTAAACATTTTATATCATAATGTTTAGTGTGTTAATTGAACATGTATTAAGTATACATGAAAATGGCTAACTTTTGGTATAGTGTCTTACTATCAAAAAAGCAATGACATTACAAAATATTTTCTACTTACCCTAATTCAGGTTAGTGTGGTACCATTTTCGCCTAAATCTCATTATGAATCGTTGCCATATTTGAATGTACTAGGCGCCTTCAATATAATAGGCGCCAGTAAAACTGACTTCCCTCTACTTTTTTGATTTATGCATCTTCTGTTTGTATGTGTATAGCTTGTGTGGGTGGACAACAGACCCCATATAGTCCAATAAACTAGATTTTAATGGGGAATGAAGAAATTTTCATTATTTCAGGATACTACTGTAATTTTAGGTATAAGTAGTTCGCAGTACTTTACTGAAAACCAGTTACCACTCTATGATTGTTAATCTAATTTAACTCATTTACACAAATGAATTTTAAAATATTCATGCAAACTTATTTAAACGGTTTATACAAAGGTCTCAAAACTGTTCAAGATTCCACTGTTTCTACTGTATTCTGTACAAGTGATGAAGAGATAAAATACTGTTTTATTTGATGAATTTAGACAACGTTGCAAAAAACCAAACGCTAGTAAAAATTTATCGGTATGGTATTATAAAAACCGAGCAATTTAATCAAATTAAGATTAAATTAAGTTTTTTTATTTTACTAGGGATGTATTCTAAGTATATCCATCCAACATTTGTTCTGTTAGTGACTGCTGATTATGCTAAGATTTCAAGTGAACCATTTAGCTTCAACATCAAAAGAATCAGTATAAGAAACGGCTTTGTGAAGATTGTAGTAATCTCAGTAGTTGAGATTATGAGTCAGTTAAAGCTAGACCAGCATGGAAAACCTGGAAGCACTGGACGGCCATTTCGTCCTATTGTGGGACTCCTCAGAAATGAACATCCACGACCCCGCCTCGTGGAATTCGAACCCAGGACATATCAGTTTCGAGCGCAGGCGCACGTCTGAGGAGTCCCACAATAGAACGAACTGGCCGTCCAGTGCTTTTAGGTTTTCCATGGTGGTCTAGCTTCAATTGACTCATGATCTCAACTATTGAAATCAAAGGAATTGTCATCTTAACATTTCTGTGAACAAGTCATCTGAACGATCGTTTCTCAGTTTACCTTCATTGACTAACGCAGTCAGCTAACTACATTTGAGTACGTGTCGATATACACCAAGATTTTCTACAGATGAACAACGAATGTCTACGCATGAGTAAAAATTACCTTAGTCTGTAAGAAGAAACTTATGAACGCAGGTAAATATTCCTTCTTCAATTCACTTGAAACTATATCCACACCTTGGTCAATCAATTCAAACATCTAGAAAACTACATTGCCAGGCAAAAGTTTGAGCACAGATTTGACTGATATTCTGATAGTAAGAATTTAGATTTTGTCAGTAGAAATATTGCAAAATACTTATAAAGGATTCTCAAAGAGAACTTTAAAGAATGAGATATACGGTTAACTACAGTCTCGTTTTCAATCTCAGAAATAGTCAGCTTGATTTTCATAATATAACCACAAATTTAATCAAATAATAACTATTGTATTTAAGATGTTAAAAGGAAAATAGATAACACTAATCTTAGATGTATTTTTTATTAAACTGATTAAAATTTTTGCACATCAAAAAATTATGTAAGTCTCCAAAAAACCATGAAATCAGCTGATTTTATTTTGTTGCTAAGTTATATCGAAACAGTCCATTTACAATTATTTTTTGTAAATTATATTAATTTTACTCATGAACAAATGATTATTGTTTTTTGATAGAATAAAAACTTGGAAAATTATCATTCAATGATTAAGTGTTTGTATTTCTTCATTATTGACAATGAGAATGAGTAATGAGAAATCTCTTAGGCCTATCTACATCATGAAAGGATTATTTCAATAATGTTACATGGTTGAAAATTTTAATAAGTTTGGATGAAGTGTTTTGTTTTGTTTAAGAATTGTCATTTTGAATGTATCTGTATTCTGGTATTGATGTTCAAAGCCATTGTGGATGTTAAGGATCAGTTTCAGCATCTAAGCTGGAATCTAAATACATCCAGCTGACAAATCCCAAACGAAACAAAATATACGTTTTAAATTCCACTATTAGCACCTTACCGAATTTGATAAATATCATTCAATAAACTTGTCCTTAGGAAAACTGGTGTGTTATTTTTTCCATGATAATTTGTATATCTATAAACTTGTAATAAAGAAAGGGATAATAAAATTGTAAAGATTGGATCAAATAATAAATTAAGGTCAAATATAATAATAAACATTTCATTAAATATATTATTATTTATAATAAATTGATACATAAAATAAACATCTTTCCATAAGTTCAGTTGAATAAACTACTGAAACACTGGCTACACATAAATATATATGGGGGTATATTTCAAACCTCTTACTTGGGTAATAAAGGTAATTATGAATCTACTTATTAAGCATATCATAAATAGTTAATTTTTGGGTATTTTCTTAACATAAGCGTGTCAATTAACATAAATACATGGGTGTACTCCCTTTTTATAATAATAATAATTATTATTATTATTATCGTTATTATTATTTATTTATTTATTTCTACTATCTTCCACATACTTTACATTGATGAGTAATTCTTATTCGTATTATTTACCCACTAAAAGTAATTCAGTTGTATCAACTATATGGATATTATCATTTGTGTTGGCTACTCATAAATTTACATTAAATGCATCCTTTTTATAATCTGGGGTTTATATATAATTATAATAATTATTATTATTATCAGAATGATGTTCTGCCTTTCGTATTTACTTTAATTTCTCATCAACTAACAATAAATCTTTACAGAAAAGAACAAACCTGAAACGGTTATGATAATATATTTATCAAGAATGTGTAATGATTAAATTAAATAATCATAATTTGAGTGTATTATGCATTGGAATTGAAATAATCAACTAAATAATAATGATATAGTACAAGAGAAAAAAACTTGATAAATGTTAGTTTATACGAAATAGGCAACATAAATCAAAATGGCAATATAAATGTTTTGATTTAGATCATGAACCGATTGATGTTAGACAACCAATGTTCGCGCGCGAAGATGAAGGCTCTGGGTTCGAATCCCGCGAGCGGGATCGTGGATGAGCACTGCTGAGTAGTCCCATAATAGGACGAAATGGTCGTGCAGTACTCCCAAGTTTTCAATGATGGTCTAACACCAATCAGTTCATGATCTCAATCAAAAACGTAATAATCTTCACAACCCTATACTGATAGTAATATAAATGCTTTTTCAAAATAAACGTTTAACACTATATATATTAAATAGTTTATTCTGTCTAGCGTTCTTTTGGGAAGATTTTCTTCTACAGGATGGGAGTTCTAATCCCATACCCAACCTTGCCTCTTTACCCAGGTTTGGAATTGCCAGTAACTTTAGATGAGCTACAGGTGAAGTTATCTCTACGGATAGTTTAAACAATAATTTATGTCAGGAATATCAACTAAAATCGTTAATATTTTGATAGTGAAATTTATTTTAAAATAGATTCAAGTTTTCCAAACAGCAGAAAGTATTCATTTTCCGGAAATATAAACATTATCATTTATTTATAAGAAGATATAGAAACCAACAAAATTACTGTGGTGTATCACAGATCTAACACTATGCCTTTGGTGGAAGTGCTTTCTTGAAAAAGGTTTTGAAATTGATTTAATTTTATGACATGATTCATTAATTAAAATGTAACTTATGAAAGCTTTACACCATTTTATTCATTAACAATCTTTATATTCACATATAAGACGTCTATATGTTCGATCTAATGAATTGATATTGATAAATTTGATACAGTTGAATTTATGAGTCAATTAAAGCTAGACCATCAAGGAAAACCTGGAAGTAACGGATGGCCGTTTCGTTTTAGTATGGGACTCCTCAGCCGTGCGCGTCCACGATCCCGCCTCGCGAGATTCGAACTCAGGATCTATCGGTCTCGCGCGCGAACGTGATTTATCTGTACACATAATGATCTGTAAAAAAATGAAAAAGAGAAACATTTCAAATGAATAAAAATCAGCATTATTCTTTTTAATTAAAAATGAATATTTTGTGGAAAAGAAAATTTGTTTTTAGTAAACTGACTTATAATTAATAATCAGTTTAAATACAGTATGTCAATAAATGCTAAGCGTGGTGAAATATAATAATTAAACGATTTCCAGGAGTTCTGATGAGAAGCTGTGACCAGTAAAGTTTAATCTGTGTCGTCTGGGGACAGTTATCCATCTCAGACAATGAATGAAGGTTTGCGCATGATCAATAGCTGCCTGCTTGAACATCTAGGCTACCTGTTCCTGTCATCTAGATATCTCAACAATTTATCTAATTTTGTTTCTTTCAATACATCATTATGTACATTATTCGCATAACCTATTCAAGTGCGTTTCTCAAAAGTGTATATTCATTCGTTGTACAAGTTACAAAATGCGCAGCGTACTTAGAGATATTGTGGTTGGTGACAATATGTATCGAAATCAATGTACATTATTTCGATGTTGATTGACTGGACTGCTGACTTCTAACTGTCGTTCACTCAATATTTTTCATCAGGATCGACCATGAAATAAGAAACGGAAACTTGTTAAAATACTTTGTAGTGATAATTCTATATTGTATCAAAAATATAATATTGAATAAAGCTAATAATAATAATACTTTCATCAAACTTTATGAAGAAAGAAATTTTGTATTTCATTGAACATTTGCTTACTAATATTTATTTAACTAAACTTAAAGTGGCAAATAGATAGATAATTATCTAAATACTATGTAAACTTGCTGGTCTCAAAAACATACAGCTATTGTTCCCTAACACATAATATCTATACTGGTTAGAGGTTTTAACCTGTAGATAGTGTTTGGATAATTCAATTCTGAAAACAATATTGAAAAATGATCACAAGGTTAAAAAAATTTCTAAAGTAATATAGATATACATAATGTATATTTAAAATATCGTTCATGATTGCGTAGTTGGCTTTTTGATCCACTAGTGATATAGAGATTTTTGATTGACCTTCCTTACCATACCATTCCTTTGACTGTTTATCATCTGTTTAAAAATCCCCATAGAATATTTAAAAATGAA